GAGGCTGAGGCAGGAGAATGGCTCTAACCCAGGAGGCAGAGGTTTCAGTGAGCCAAAATCGTGCCAGTGCACTCTAGCCTGGGCAACAGAGCGAGACTCCATCTCAAAAAATAAAATAAAAAAAAATAAAATTCATATGAAACCAAAAAAGACCCAGAATAGCCAAAGCAATATTGGGTAAAAAGAACAAAGCTGGAGGCATCACAGTGACTGACTTCAAAATAAGGCTAAATTAGCCAAAATGGCACTGTATTGGTATAAAAAATAGATAGCTCAATGTAATAGAATAGAGAACCTAGAAATAAATCCAAGTAGTTACAGCCAACTGAGATTTGAGAAAGGTGTCAAAAATACGCAATGGGGAATGGCCACCCTCTTCAATAAATGGTGCTGGGAAAATTGGATCTCTACATGCAGAAGAATAAACCAGACTCCTCGCTCTCACTGTATATACAAATAAACTCGAGATGGATTAAAGACTTAAATATAAGACCCAAAACTAGTTAAAACTCCTAGAAGAAAACATAAGGGAATCACTTCAGGACACTGGTCTAAGCAAAGCTTTCATGGCTAAGGCCTAAAACAAAAACAAAAACAGTTAAGTGGGACTATATTAAGCTAAAAAGCTTCTGCACAGTACAGGAAACAACAGAGTGAAGAGACAGCCTGTTGAATGGGAGAAAATATTTGCAAACTATTCATCCAACAAGGGACTAATATCTAGAATATGAGGAACTCGACACAACAGTAAACAAACAAGTCCTATTAAAAAGTGGGCAAGGGAGATGAACAGACATATCTCAAAAGAAAACATACAAATGGCTAACAGGTATATGAAAAAAACACTCAACATCACTAATGATCAGGGAAATGCAAATCAAAACCACAATGAGGTATCATCTTACCCAGTTAAAATGGCTGTTACGAAAAGAACATAACAAATGCTGGCAAGGATGTGGAGAAAAAGGAACTTACACTGCTAGTGGGTATGTAAATTAGTGTAGTCATCATGGAAAACAGTATGGAGATTTCTCAAAAAACTAAGGAGAGAACTATCATATCCAACAGTCCTACTACTATTTACCCAAAGACAAGAAATCAGTATATCAAAGAGACAACCCGCACTCCCATCTCCCATGTTTACTGCAGCACTATTCACAAGAGCAAAGATACGGAATAAACTTAAGTGTCCACCAATGGATGAGTGGATAAAGAAAATGTATACATAGATGAAGTGAAATACTATTAGGCCATAAAAAACAAGGAAATCATGTCATTTGCAGCAACATGGATGGAACTGGAGACTTTTATCTTTTTTTTTTTTTTCTTTTTTTGAGACAGAGTCTTGCTCTGTCGCCAGGCTGGAGTGCAGTGGCGTGATCTTGGCTCACTGCAACCTCTACCTCCCGGGTTCAAGCGATTCCCCTGCCTCAGTCTCCCAAGTAGCTGGGACTACAGGCACACGCCACCATGCCCAGCTAATTTTTGTTTGTTTGTTTGTATTTTAGTAGAGACAGGGTTTCACCATGTTGGCCAGGATGGTCTCGATCTCCTGACTTCCTGATCTTCCTGCCTCGGCCTCCCATAGTGCTGGGATTACAGGCGTGAGCCACCATGCCTGGCTATTGAAGATTTTTATCTTAAGTGAAATTAAGCCAGGCCCAGAAAGACAAATATTGCATGTTCTCACTCATATGTGACAGCTAAAAAAGTTGATCTCATGGAGGAAGAAAATGGAATATTAGAAGTTGGGGGCCGGGCATGGTAGCTCATGCCTGTAATCTCAGTACTTTGGGAGGCTGAGGCAGGTGAATCACTTGAGGTCAGGAGTTTGAGACCAGACTGGGCAACATGGTGAAACTCCATCTCTACTAAAAATACAAAAATTAGTCAGGCATGGCAGCATGTGCCTGTAGTCCCAGCTACTTGGGAGGCTGAGGCAGGAGTATTGCTTGAACCCAGGCCAGCCTGGTGACAGAGCAAGATTCTGTCTCAAAAAAAAGAAGAAGTTGCGGTGGGTTGGCTAATAAAAAAATAAAAACAGATTAATGAGTAAAAACATATAGTAAGAAAAAATAAGTTCCGATGTTCAATAGCAGAGTAGGATGACTATAGCCAACAACAATATGTTGTATATTTCAGAATAACTAAAAAAGAAGATGTGAAATGATCCCAACACATAGAAATGATAAGTACTCAAGGTGATGGACACCACAAACACACTGACTTAATCATTATACAGTCTATGCATGTAACAAAATATCACATATGTACCCCATAAATAGGTACAAATGTCTGTATCAATTAAAAGAAACCAGGGGTTTTATTTAAATTTTCATAATCTCAGTAGAAGTTATAATAAAACACGCTAAAAACTGGTAATATTTTTAAAAACTGGGGGAGAGAGATGATAAAAGAAGTGTAACAATGTTTGGGTAGAAATCTTTTAAATCTCCTATGTCTTCTTTAAAAAATTAAGAAATCCATGGCTTCACAATTAAAATAGAACTACTTCTCAACATCTCAACACCATGAGTTGAATAATGATGTTTAAAATGTTACTTCAGTTGTCACCATCTGCTTTGCCTTTGAGAAAAATAAATTTTTAAAAATACATAAATAGAACTATAGATATATAAAATTTCTTGTCCATTTTTTATATATAAATTTATATAGATATATAAAATTTTATATATAAAAAATTTCTAGTTCTATTACCTGTTCTCCAAAGTGAGTAAAGCAGAGCAAATTCCCATCTACACAGCCAATACAAACATACTGTGAGCAACATCGTGGGGAAGAGAAGAGTGGTTTTCCACAGGAATGTTTCCAAATAATGTTCCCAGTAGCCTGTCACAGGAAAAAGCAATTCACAGCATTTTACATCATCCTACTAATCAGTTACCCTTTAAAAAACAAACTCATAATCTCCTAGGGGTAGAACTAAAATAGCAGAAAACGCTACAGGGGTAAGCAGACATAAATGAAGCTGGTATACATATATTAAATCAATCAGTGCTATTTATGAGAACTAGGAAAAAGGCTTGCAATAAGACCAGCAAAGAAAAACACTAGCACCTAAGAGCTATCCCTATGATGGACATAAAGTTCTTAATATGATGAAAAAAATTCTGTCAATTTTGAATCCAGAAGGCGGAGGTTGCAGTGAGCCGAGATCGCACCACTGCACTCCAGCCTGGGCAACAGAGCAAGACTCTGTTAAAAAAAAAAAAATATATATATATATATATATACACACACACACACACACACATACACACATACAGGAATTTAAATTTTCTTATCTTTCTAGATCTCGTATCATTCATTTTTAATGAATTCTAGTTTGGTGTATGTGGACTACTATAACTGAAAACTACTCAAACTTTCAGAGCTCAAAGCAAAAATTTCAAAAATTTAAAGAAAAGATAGGTAATAAAATCAATATGTATTATTTTATGCCTACAGGATTTACAGCCAGTAAAAGTCCTCCCAATGTAGCAAAATACAAATGATGTGGAATCGGGTTCAAACACGGAGAGGAAAAGACAGTTCCTCCACATTTTGACTTCCAAACACACTTCTTTCTCTGCAAATAAGAAAACAAATTAATTTGTTTTTGCTGATGGTTAACAAATCCATATATCCTACCCTTCATGATATTATGTCTGTTTAGTTAACATACGTTTTTATCTTTAGTATAAAATACATGCCTATTGTGGAGAATCAGATTAATATAAAGACAAAGGACACCACCCAGAGACAACCAGTGTTAACAGTTTAGCATTTTCTCATTTCTTTTTGGGGTATGGGTGTACGTGTGTATGTCTGTGCGCACACATCTGAGAATGTGTGTATATACACACACATGATTTAATATAGTTGAGATCATTCTGAATATACAACTTGGCATCACGTTTTGCTCACTGATTTTGTAATATTATTTAAATATAATTTTAATGCATAATATCCCATATGAACATAAATAATTTCTCTACCTTATCATTGAATGTTTTTTGGAATTTCTAGGTATTATAAACAACTTAGAAATAGGCATCTTAATGCGTATATTTGACTATGTTTCTGATTATTTTGCCAGGATTTCTAAAAAAATAATTTTATTGGACCAAGGATATGATATTGTTACCTATGGTCAAATCAAATCATTTTCATTAGAGGCCTCACTAGTTACAACCTCTTACCACTCTCATCAGCATTTAATGTTATGACGAATATGTTTCCTAATCTAATACCATTTGTTTCTCTATCTCAGAGTTTTTAATTTTCATTCCTTTGATTATTAAATTTATGAACTATTTATATACATTTACTAGTCATCTCTTCTTTGGGGTCCTGTGTATTTATGTCCCTTGTTTATTTTTCTATCTATCTGGATCTTTATATTTTATTAATTTGTATTTGATCTTCATTTTCATTAATATTAATAAACATAAATGAATTTCCACCTTTTTCACATTTATTTCAAAAATTTTCCCAGCTTAATTTCATAATTCTTATATAACATTTTAATTTTTATGTAATCAGGTCTTAAAATATCTTATTGATATCTTCCTTTGTCATTTTTTTCTACTGTCAAGATGATAATCCTAAATTCTTTACATTCCAAAACTCTGAGTAGCACACTTATTTGTGGTAAATTTGGTAATGAAGTTAAAAAGGTCTTAAGATATTAAGACTTAATGCTTTATTCTTCCCAGACCACAGTGATAAGCTTGGGAAATAGTTAATATCTGTTCCAAGGTTCAACTGCACCTGACAGTTACTTCTTCTAAGTATTAGAAATTTAATGCTTCTATGCTTATGATATTAGACTAATGAGGTGAATTTTTTTTTTTTTTTTTTTTTTTGAGATACAGTCTCACTCTGTCACCCAGGTTGGAATACATTGTCACAATCTTGGCTCACTGCAACCTCCACCTCCCAGGTTCACGCAATCCTCCCACCTCAGCCTCTGGAGTAGCTACCATTACAGGCATGTGCCACCATGCCCAGCTAATTTGAGGTGAATTCTTACATAAATATCTAAAGCATATGCATGCTGGTCATGAGATCCAATGTAAATGAGTCCTGTGGTTGGATCCATGGTTGCTGAGCTTTTGACAGCATCTCCAGTAGTAAACATCCAGTATTTTTCTCCACTATTACTTTTCAGAACATAAACTAATCCATTATAACAGCCTGCCAAGAAACAAAGCACAAAAGATTTGATATAGATATATTACTGGAAAATAATTCTTTAGCCTATATCATGCTATTTATATTCAGTCCTCCTCTTATACATAGGCTCTATGATCAGCTCATCTGGCTTACATTTTAGCAATGTAAAGCAGAAACTGAATTAGTAATCACTTGCATAAAATATCTATTTAGTAGATATATCTTATCTTTTAAAAGTTTCACTAATTTTTTTACATACTTATTTTTAAAAAGTGCTTCACTACTGAAAAAACAATAAAGCACACTGTGGTGGAGAGAGATTTTTGACGCATCTGGATTCAGACTTCATCTCAACTAACATTGGGCATTTAAATCACCCAGTGTTGCTAAGCCCCAAATTATTCATCTGCAGAATGTGGAGTCATCTACTTCCAGGGTTATTGTGACAATTCAGATAATGTGAATAAATGCCCAGTGCATAGAAAGTGTTTAAGAAGTGCTAACATTAACAGTCAATGTTCATTGAGCATTTACTATGTGTCAAGTGCTATTCTAAGTATGTTACATCTATTAATTCATTTAATCTTCACAGTGAAGTAAATACTATTATAACCACATTTTATAGATGACAAAATTGAAGCACAGAGAGACTAAATTACTGGGGAAAAATTACACAGCTCATATGTGGCAGAACCAAGATTTGAATCTAAGAAGTCAAGCTCTAGAGCCTATGCTCTTAACAACTAAACTACTTTTCCCAAATTGCTGCTATGGATGAGAAGACAGGGCAGGAGTCCTTGACCTTGGTGTAGTCAAAATAACCTAGCCGGAAGTAGAGATTGTTCAAATCTACAAAGTGAAGGTCACTGAAATTCCCTGGAGACCATGAAAATCAGGAGAAGTAGAATTTGGGGACAGCTATTTAGGGCAATTTCATTGACGCCCACTCTCTAGATAGCTCTGCCTATGGACACTGCCACTCATTTGAGACCCAATTCCCAATGTACTTTTTATGCTTTTTTTCCCCCGGCAGTTATCAGTTAGTAGCAAGAGAGTAGTGACCAGCTCAGAGATGACAAAGAGAAATGTCCTACATAGTAGAGCACCCCAGAACTCACCTGGGTAAAGATTTCTATCAATTCAGTTTAATTCCAAAAGACAATAGAGAATAAAATTTTTTGAACTTGGGTTAGGCAAAGATCGCTAAGATGACACTGAAAGCATGACCCATTAAAAAAATTAAAGTGGACTTCATCAAAACAAAGGACTCCTCTTCAAAAGACACTATGTCACTATGCTAAGAGAATAAAACACAAGCCCCAGACTGAGAGAAAACATGCAAAACATATATCTGATAAATTATTTGTATTCAGAATACATAAAACAATTCTTAAAACTCAATTTAAAAAACTTAAAAATGGGAAAAAGATTTCAATAGACACTTCATAAAAGATATACAGATAGCAAAAGAGCTTATGAAAAGGTGCTCACCAGACATGGTGGCTCATGTCTGTAATCCCAGCACTTTGGGAGGCTGAGGTGGGCAGATCACTTGAGCCCAGGAGGTTGAAACCAGCCTGGGCAACCTGCAGAAGCTCTGTCTCTACAAAAGTTACAAACATTAACCAGGTGTGGTGGTGCATGTCTGTAGTCCCAGTTACTCCAGAGGCTGAGGTGGGAGGATCACCTGAGCCCAGGAGTTCGAGGGTGTAGTGAGCCATGATCACGCCACTGTACTCCAGCCTGGGTGACAGAGCAAGACCCTGTCTCAAGAAAAGGAAAAAAAAAAGATGTTCAACATCACTAGTCACTAGGGAAAGGCAAATTAAAACCACAATAAAACACCACTCATGATTATTTCAATGGCTATAACAAAAAAAAATTAAAGCTGACAATACTAAGTACTAGTAAGAATGTGGTGCAACTGGACCTTCACACATCGATGGTGCAAATGCAAAACAGTTTAGTCACTTTGGGAAACAATTCAGCAGTTTCTTATCATTCAGCTGTATTACTAAAAGTGTCCTGTAGTATAATTTTCAAAATGCTGTTGTTTAAAGGGGAAGAAGGAAGAATCAAATTCAGATTCAAGTAGATTGCTGCTAGGATAGCACAAGTAGGGAAAGTTATTCCTAAGCCTTTAGTCTGAAAAGTTTTGATGAAGATTCCATGAGCATATAAAATGAAACCTAACATATCTGGGAGAGTAAAAAGAGAGTTGTAGTCAGGCGGAGATATTATACCCAGAATCCCCATATTCCTAATAAAGTAAAAGTCACCTATACCTTAATGAAACTGAGCAGCAGGTAGTAGCTAACACTTAACAAGCACTTTTGAAAAAATGCTCGCCAGACATGGTGGCTCACGCCTGTAGGGAGACTTAGGTAGGTGGATCGCTTGAGCCCAGGAGTTTGAGATCAGCCTGGGCAACCTGCAGAAACTCTAACTACAAAAATTTCAAACAGCCAGGTGTGGTGGCATATCCCTAGCAAGGCACCAAGGGATTCATAAACAATTATCTCATTTAATCCTCCCAAAAGCTTGATAAAGATTCTGGTGGTTTTAAAATATGTCCAGGAGGCCGGGTGAAGTGGCTCACACCTGTAATTCCAGAACTTTGGGATGCCAAGGCAGGTGGATCACAAGGTCAGGAGTTTAATACCAGCCTGACGAACATGGTGAAACCCCATCTCTACTAAAAATACAAAAATTAGCTGGCTGTGGTGGCGTGTGCCTGTAGTCCCAGCTACCCAAGAGGCTGAGGCAGAAGAATCACTTGAATCCGGGAGGCGGAGGTTGCAGTGAACCGAGATTGCGCCACTGCACTCCAGCCTGAGCGACAGAGCCAGACGGGAAAAAAAAAAAAAAGTCCATGAATTCTTTGATGCACTTCCTTTCAAGAGGTGGAGCCTAATTCTCTTCCCCTTGAGTGTGGCTTGAACTGAGTTATGCACTTTTCATTTATTTATTTATTTTGAAACAGAGTCCTGCTCTGTTTGCTCAGACCAGAGTGCAGTGGCACAATCACCACTCACAGCAGCCTCAACCTACTGGGCTCCAGTGATCCTCCCACCTCAGCCATTCAAGTAGCTGGGACTACAGGCATGTACTACCATAGCTAGCTAACGTTTGTATTTTTTGTAGAGACAGAGTTTCTGCATGTTACCCAGGCTGGTCTTGAACTCCTGGGCACAAGTGATCCGTCTGCCTTGGTCTATCAAAGTGCTGATATTACAGGTGTGAGCCACCGCGCCTGGCTGAGTTACGCACTTCTACTTAACAGAAGAAAACAAAAAATGATGGTATGGAATTTGGAACACTGGGTCATAAAAGGTACTCTGTTCCTCCTTACCTGCTGTCTCCTGGATCACTCTGAGGAATGTTAGCTGCCATGTTGTAAGGGCAGTCAAGCAGCCTAGAGAGAGGCGCATGTGGCAAGAATTGAAGCTTCCTGTCAGAACCAGCAAAGAACTGAGGCTTTCTGCTAATAGTGATGCAAATGAGCTATCTTGGCAGATTTTCCAACCCAAGTCAAGCTTTCAGATGGCTATAGCCAGAACTGCCAGCTAAGCTGCTCCTGAATTGCTAACTCATAAAAACTATGAGACAATAAATCTGTGTTGTTCTAGGTTGTTGAGTTTTGGGGTATTTGCGATGCAGGAACACATTTTATTATTATTCCCATTTTACCCACAAGGAAAGTGACATTCTAAGAGGTTCAGTAACCTGCCAAAGGTTACAGAGCTCATAATAGCTATAGAGGTAGGTTCAAATCCAGGGACTCTTGACCCCAAGGCCCACATTGTTAAACAGCACAGGGTTGACTATTATTTTTTGACAGCAACCAAACCCATCATACATAGATTTTTTAAAAATTTAACTTGGGTCTATGAAGATTATTGTATGGTAATTCAATTTAACTCCACAAACTTCAAATTTAAAAACTTACCCACCACAATAAAGTTTCCACACTTAGATACACATGCTGAGGATTCAATTCGATCTCCCAAAAGCTGTTCCCATTTCACCTTCCCAGAGTAAAAGTCAACTGCCTTCATTCTATGAGAATGGGAACCAATGTACACAGTTGTAGATGACTTATCAAAAGCGGGTATTACAACCAGCGGTGAAGCATCTACGCACTTGCCTGTGTCTGACCTCCACCTCACATGTAACTCCATTTTCTGAGTCCCTATCACAGGTTTCCCCTCTTCAGAAACTTTCACAACACAGGATGGATCTTTTGACTTTCCAATAAGAACTGGAGAATTTAAGTCTTTCACATTTTGAATGTTGGTCTGTGAAACTGAATCAGAAGGATAGGCTGAAGAGCAATGTCCTAACTTTGTTGAAAACCTAGTGGTATTCAGAGACAAAATTTGACTCCCTCTGCTCAGTGCAACAAAAGCATTAATCTCATTGTGGCAACTTGAAGTCACGATAGCTTTCTGATGTAAAGATGCTCCACTAGCTTCCTCTTGATTAATGTCGCTGAGTTTCCTTTTTGTGGCACAACTCTTCCTGAATGTCACATCTTCATCTGGAAACACTGTTTGAAGAATGTGGTTGTAAATCTCTAAAATGGAACTGCTGAGAATAATTTCCAGAAGCCCAGGCACTGATGTACCAACAAGTTTTTCAATTTCACTGAGGAGCCGGATGGACTTTAAGGAATCTCCACCACTATTTAAGAACAGTGACTCATCAGGAACCTTCAAAAGATCTTCTGGGAGATTCAGAGTAGACTACAGATGAGAGAATAGAGAAATATGTGACGTAAAGGTCTAAAATCAAAAGACTTCAACATTTACAGGTAATATAGAGAGATGAGAGTACCTACATTAATAATTAGAAATATACGCTGGGCACAGTGGCTCACGCCTGTAATCTCAGTACTTTGGGAGGCTGAGGCGGGTGGATCACATGAGGTCAGGAGTTCGAGACCATCCTGGCCAACACAGTGAAACCCCATCTCCACTAAAACATGAAAATTAGTTGGGCGTGGTGGTACCCACCTATAATCTCAGGTACTCAGAAGGCTGAGGCAGGACAAACACTTGAACCCGGGGGTGGAGGTTGCAGTGAGCCAAGATTGTGCCACTGCCCTCCCACCTGGGCAACACAGTAAATCTCTGTCTCAAAAATAATAATAATAATAATAATAATAACAATTATAAATATAACATAAATACTTTTAATAATAAAATAAAGTTTTAAATTATTTTATTTATGTTAAAGGAGATCACTGTGCTACCAATTTTGTCACAAAGTCACTCTAAAAGTACAAAATATACTTCCCTTTAGAGCTGTTTTCTTACCCATAAAATTGGGACAAAAACATCTGATTTATGAATTATAAAGCCCACAAGATACCAATAGCCAGTATTTCTGTAATACGGGAATAATCTGTCTTTGGTTGCTTCATATAAATCAAAATTACTTTCCAAGAATCTAAAAATGAAGTAGATGAGACTTTTATCTTAGATACCCTCTATTTTTAGACAAGGCTACACAATTACATCCTCTTTTCAGAACCCTTTAGAAGCGAAAAATCTGTATTTTATTTAAGAAAAATTATTAATTTATTGAGATATATTTTAAAAATTCTCTCAAATAGAAATACATATTGTTACTGAAAGTTCTTTTGGAATAATGATGTAAGCCCTAAGCCTAACAGACAACACATTGTGCTATAGCAAGATTTGGCTATTTTCTCAGCTCTGACAAGAGTGTTACTACATTCCACCGATCCTCTTAGAGAAAAGTTATGTCAAAACAGGTTTTGTCTACTTGTGCCTTTTATTACTACTTCACTTTCAATAAATTTCTTTGTGGGGAACTTAATCTAGTCTTACAGTAGAGAACCTAACCTTCATTTTAACACAAATTGGATAAATGAAGCCATAATACCTAACATCTGGGTAGCAATAACATTCTCAGAAAATTGTATCCAACTTGTTAGGATGATAGCATTCCCTAAAGATATAAAATGACCTCCTTATAATAATAATTTTGTAACTTAAAAATTGTACCTTCCACAAATACTGTAATTTTTCCCAAAGGTCCTCTTTCCCACTGAGTTTATTCTCAGACTTCAAGTTTATGTAGTTTAAATATATCTTGTTTAACTCAGAAACATCAATTTTGCCTTAATATAAAAGAGAAATAACAAATGTTTTAAAACATTTTAAAATTTCACTCAAAGCCTTTATATATTCATTAGCCATACACATTTTTTTTTGTACAACACAGAAATTGTATAAAGAGTTTGTTGTCAACAATGAACTCTAAAAAGTTGTCTGATGCTACCAAGAATGTAGAGAGAAATAGATGAGAAACAGGCCAGGCATAGTGGCTCACTCCTGTAACCCCAACACTTTGGGAGGCTGAGGTGAGAGGATTGCTTGAGGCTAGGTGTTCAAGACTAGCCTGGGCAACACAGCAAGACCCTGTCTCTACAAAAAAAATTAAAAATTGGCCTGTAGTTCTAGTTACTCAGGAGGCTTAGATGGGAGGATCACTTGAACCCAGGAAGTTGAGACTGCAGCAGTGAGCCCTAATTGCCCACTGCATTCCAGCTTGGGTGAAGAAGTGAGACCCTGTCTCCAAAAAAAAAAAAAAGAAAGAAAAAGAAAAAAAGGAGCTAATATTTATCCAATTTATCTCAATTTCAAGAGTTAAAGAAATAGGTTCCATTAACTGAGCAATTACTGCATTTTGAAGTATATGTTAAATAAAAATGAAATTGGGAAGGCAATATAATATGGTGATTAAGATTATATATTTTGAAGTCAAACAGTGCTAGACAGATAAAACAAACAATAATAAAAATAAAATTAAAATAAAAACAGTCCTAGACAGAATATCAATTCTATCACTGTGATAAGTTAATTGTATGTGTCAATGTGGGTGGGCCACAGGGTGCCCAGATTAAACATTTTTCTGACTGGGTCTGTGAGGGTGCTTCTGGATGAGATTAGTATATGAATCTAATTAAGGACTCAGAAAAGTAGATTGGGCATCATCCAAACTGTTGAGGGCCAAAATAGAAAAAAAGGCAGAGAAAGGAAGAATTTGCACCCTTTTTCTTTCTCTTTTTTGAGATGGAGTCTCACTCTGTTGCCCAGGCTGGAGTGCAGTGGTGCAACCATGGCTTACTGTAACCTCCTCCTCCTGGGTTCAAGCGATCCTCCCACCTCAGCCTCCCAAGTAGCTGGGACTACAGGCGTGCACCACTGCACTCGGCTAATGTTTTTTGTATTTTTAGTAGAGACAGGGTTTCACCATTTTGGCCAGGCTGGTCTCAAACTCCCAACCTCAAGCGATCCATCTGCCTTGGCATCCCAAAGTGCTGGGATTACAGGCGTGAGTCACCGCACCTGGCATGCACCCTCTTTGTGTCATTGCTTAAGCTAGGACATCTCATTTCCTCCTGTCCTCAAACAGGGATTTACATCATCAGCTTCCCTGATTCTCAGGCCTTAGGACACAGACTGAATACAGCACTGACTTTCCTGAGTCTCCAGTTTGCCAAAGGGAGATTAGACCTCTTAGCTTCCATAAATGCACAGGCCAATTCCTGACAATAAATCTTTTATATATCTATATATTGGTTCTGTTTCTGGAGAACCTTGACTACTATACTAATATAACCACTAACTAGCAAAATGATTTTTGGAAAATTACTTAACCTCTTTTTTAGATGTTGCCAAGTCTGGAGTACAGTAGTTATTTACAGGCACAAACATAGCATACTGTACCCTCAAACTCCTGGCCTCAAGTCATCCTCCACTTTAGCTTCCCTGAATGGCTGAAACTACAGGCGCTCACCACTATGCCCCACTGAATTACTTAACCTCTTTAAGCCTTATTTTCCTCATCTGTAAATAAGAATAATACCACCTATCCACAGGATTTTCTGAAGATAAAATGAATTAATTATACAAAGTGTTCAAAGGAGGGTCTATCACAATAAATGCTAGTACCATTTACAAAAATAATAAAGATTTATGTGATCATTAAGCTAGTTATGAATACAATCAGTATTATTTGGCACTGAATTACTAAATTATATTTGGCACTAAATTACTTTACCGTGGGATGTAAATGGTAGAGAGTCAATCAATACAAGCTCATCCGGGATTGCATGACTTGGAAGATATTTGTGCAGTTCTTTAAAGATGTATTCTTTTACTGAAGCATCTTTAGACACCATGAAGAGAATTAATTTTTCCTGATTATACCATGTAACTGCACAAGACTCCACTTGCTGAAGCTCTTCAGCAACCTATAAGAGAGATTATCCCAATTTGCCAATGAGGATATTTACAAACAAGCTTCCTAAAAGCTTACTTTTTAATGTCTGAAATCAAAACAGCTGAATTAAATTTTGGAATATACTGGAGTTTTTTTAAAAATTGCTTTGCTACTGTTACTATTACTTGCACATAGGGTTCATAATATTTTTCAAAATAATAGGTCCTAAAGCAAAAGAAGCCAGTTTAATTTCACAAATATTAAAATCCAATTTGTCACTTATTTAAAGAATAACCATCTCTTCATGCTGGGGATAAGGGGCACCCTGAATTATTCATATCTTTTATTGTAATTCATCACTAACACAAAAATGTCAGGTGTAAATAATAGAGACCCCAGCACAGAAAATTGGTGGTGGCTGCTTCTAATACTTACATATATTAATAGATAGTCAATATTTACATAGTTCTACCTGTTGCACAAGTTCAATGTTAAGACGTTTGCCATGACGTTTGATCTGACTGTCTTTTCGTCCCAAAAAAAAAATCTCTCCATCTTTCACAGTCACAAAGTCTCCTGTAGCTCGCATTGTGCCAAGTGGTACTGTCACTTCATCATCAAGAAAACACACTCTGTTTCTGCCACCTTCCCAAGATATAAACACCAATGTCATAAAAATTCAAGGGAAATATATTAAAAACCGTAAAATCAACAACATCTCCAACAGTTTGGTGACTAAGTTTCAAAATTTAAATACTAAAAGAGGGGCTCATTTTAAAATGTTATCTGATAAAACCAGACACAATAAGTTCAATAAATAAGCAAAGAGATAAAATGAAATTTATTTCTTAAAATTTATAGATTTAAAAATTCTTAGACTACTGATTAAATATAATTTTGGCTATAAATATAAATATGAAGGTCCAAGTTACAGTTTCTAAATTACTTTTATTAATGTATTAGATATTATTATCTGAAATAATTATTGTAACATTTGGTATTTCATGACTATATGAATGAGATTAAAAATTATCACTGAAAAGCATGAGATAGACAAAAGAAAAAGAGGAAAGGAATAAAATTAACACATCAGATCATTTTTCTTGAAAAAAAATTCTCAATCAACAAATATAAAACAACCTAAAAATACTTGGCCACTGCCTTCCTGAATTGTGAAGCCATTAGTATCTCTGACTTCAACTACTGTTCCAAGAAGTGGAAATCCCAGTTGTACAGGCAATTCACATCTATGAAAATAAGATCCAGAACAGATTTAAAATTTTTCATTTGAATAGAATATTTTCCAATATATTTAAATCATACTGTACCAAATAAAGAAAAAAAAGTTGGTTATGCTATAATTCAAAGACTGACAAGAGGAAAAGGTTAGGTGGAGAGGTAATCATATATGTTATTCATTACCATTTAGTACGAAAATTTGCAGCAGTATCTTGGCACCAGCTATAGTAAGGAAGGTTCTGGATTCCCGACTTAAAATATCAGATACAATCATATTTCTAAAATTATTACCCCAGCGCCTATCAAAACCAAAAACACTATCAGTGTTAAGATCCTAGAAATACATAGTATAATGAAGACCCTTACTTTAAAGTAGAGTTAAGAATCTTCTCTGGAATCCTATAAATGGTTGCCCAACTTGATACCTCTGTGATACCATAAACATTAAATATTTGTGTTTTATTGCCTTCTCCTCTCCAGCTTCTGAGAACTGTCAATGATGGAAACGCTTCACCACCAAGGGCTAATACTCGAAGAGAAGTAGTGGCTGACAAAACATTTGACTTGATAAGCTTAGATCCAAATCTTCTAAGCAATGTTGGTGTTGCCTGTAGATACATTAAAAAGAATTTATTTATTTCCCTTCACTTCTTTAAAAAGGTAAGCACTGTAGTTATTATTTCAAAGTTAACATTTAGAGCCCACATGGAAATTAAGGCTGTGTTTATCAAATGGGAAATCCCATTTGGAAAACTACTGGTGCAACATTATCTTCTTGTTTTTGTTTTTGTTTGTTTGTTTGTTTGAGACAGGGTCTCACTCTGTTGACCAGGCTGGAGTGCAGTAGCATGATCACAGCTCACTGCAGCCTCAACCTCCCAGGCCCAAGTCATCATCCCACCTCAGCCTCCTGAACAGCTGGGACTACAGGCACATACCACCACAACTAGCTGATTTTTTAAATTTTTTGTACAAATAGAGCCTGTGTTGCCTAAGCTGGTCTTGGACTCCTGGGCTCAAGCAATCCTCCCACCTTGGCCTCCCAAAGCACTAGGATTACAGGCATGAGAGCCAACTGGCCCAACATTATCTTCCTAATGTGGATATCACTTATGCTTTAGAAAAAAACTCAAGCAAAAATATTACTTATATTTCATCATACAGTTCATACAAAAAGGTTTAAGGATAAAAAGTACAAAAACTATAAAATCAATTTACCTTTCCTTTCTTGCTCTGTATAAAAAGTATACAAAAGGGTTTAAAAACGTGCCTAAGTAGCTCTCTCCTCCCGCCATCCAAGATGCCGAAAGAAAAGAAGGCCAAGGTAAAGAAGGTGGCTCCGGCCCCTGCTGTCGTGAAGCAGCAGGAGGCCAAGAAAGTGGTGAATCCCCTGTTTGAGAAAAGGCCTAAGAATTTCGGCACTGGACAGGACATCCAGCCCAAAAGAGACCTCACCCGCTTTGTGAAATGGCCCCGCTCTATCAGGTTGCAGCGGCAGACAGCCATCCTCTATCAGCAGCTGAAAGTGCCGCCTGTGATTAACCAGTTCACCCAGGCCCTGGACCACCAAACAGCCACTCAGCTGCTTAAACTGGCCCACAAGTACAGACCAGAGACAAAGCAAGAAAAGAAGCAGAGGCTGTTGGCCTGGGCCAAGAAGAAAGCTACTGGCAAAGCGGACGTCCCCACTAAGAGACCACCTGTCCTTCCAGCAGGAGTTAACACTGTCACCACCTTGGTGGAGAACGAGAAAGTTCAGCGGGTGGTGACTGCACACGATGTGGATCCCATCGAGTTAGTTGTCTTCTTGCCGGCCCTGTGTCGTAAAATGGGGGTCCCTTAGTGCATTATCAAGGGGAAGGCAAGACAGGGATGTCTAGTCCACAGGAAGACCTGTACCACTGTCGCCTTCACACAGGTTAACTTGGAAGACAAAGGCGTTTTGGCTAAGCTAGTGGAAGCTATCAGGACCAATTACAACGACAGACACGATGAGATCCGCGGTCAGTGGTGTGACAATGTCCTGGCTCCCAAGTCTGTGGCTCACATCGCCAAGCTCGAAAAGGCAAACGCTAAAGAACTTGCCACTAAACTGGGTTAAATGTACACTGCTGAGTTTTCTGTACATAAAAATAATTAATACAAATTTTCCTTTAAAAATGTGCCTAAGTAAAACAATAATGAATAAAGATTGATAACAAAAGCTTTATTGAGGTATAACTGACATATAATAAACTATTTTAAGTATACAATTTAATATATTTTGATAGACATATATACTAGCAGAACCATCACCACAATCAAAATAATGAACACAACTGTCTTAGTTGATTCGGATTACTATAACAAAAATACTGTATACTAGGTAAGAAATGTAGTGCTCACAGTTCTGAAGATAGGGAAGTCCAAGATCAAGGTATGGGCAGACTTACTGTCTGGTGAATACTCTACTTCACAGATGGTACCTTCTTGTGTTCTCGCATGGTAGAAGGAACCAACAAGCAACCTCAGGCATCTTTTATAAGAGCACTAATCTCATTCATGAGGTTCCCACCCTCGTGACATAGTCATCTCCTGAAGGCCCCACATCTTAACAACAGATTGGGGATTAGATTTCAACATATGAATTCTGGAGAGACACAAACATTCAGATGACAGCAATATTCATCACTCCCAAAATTACCTGTGTACCACTATAAGTCTCCTCTCCAACTGGATCCCTTATCCAGACAACCACTGATCTATTTTCTGTCACTACAGATCAGAATAATCTTGTATAATTCCATTAATATAAATTATATATAAAATTATGAATAGAAATTATATATTCCATTTATATAAATGGAATCATAAAATACGTAGCCTGTTTTGGCCTGGCTTCTTTCACTCAACATAATAGATACAATTCATCTCTGCTGCTGAGTGTACCAACAGTTTTATTCCTTTTTATTGCTAAGTAGTATTCTATAGTACGGATCAGGACTGGGTTTCACTGTTCCATATAAAATTTAGGATCAACTTACTCATTTCTAACAAAAAAGCCTATTGGATTTTGCTAGAAAGTGTGTTTAATTTACAGATCAATTTGGGAAGAAATGCAATCTCAATAATATTAAAACTTCTAATCTATAAAGACAAAATATTATTTAGGTCTCTAATTTCTATCAACAATGTTTTATAGTTTTCAGTGTACTAATCTTGCTCTTTAGCTTTATTCCTACTTTATTGTTTTTGATGCTAGTGTAAATATTAATTTCATTTTTAGATTTTTCTTTAATACATATACATATAAATATATATGTACAAATATATACATAGAAATACAATTGATTTTTGTATGTTGATCTTCAATCCCCCAACCTGACTAAACTTTATTATTTCTAGCAGTCCTCCTCACCACCCCCACCCTCCTACAAGATTTTCTATATACAGGATCACACCAACTGCATATAGAGAGAGTTGTACTTCCTCCTGTCCAACGTTAAGTACCTTTAATTTTTTTCCTTCTTGCCTTATTGTACTGGCAAAAACCACCAGAATGTTGAAGTGGCAAAGGCAAACTTGCTTGCCTTGTTCCCAATCTTAGTGTCAAAGCATTCAGTCTTTTATCAAGTATGGTGTCATATCACCTGTAGTTCTATTGTAGGTGCCCTTCTTCATATTGGGAAAGTTCCCTTCTATTTCTAGTTTGTTAGGAGCTTTTAAAAAAATTATAAATGGGTGTTAGATTTTGTCAAATCCTTTCTCTGCATCTATTAAGATGGGTATGTGCTTTTTGTTCGTTATTCTTTACGTAGTGTGCATCATCAATAGATTTTTGGATGTTAAACCAAACATGCATTCCTGGGATAAATCCCAAATGGTCACCTTTAAATTTACTGAGACTTGCTTTGTGGCTTAGCATATGACTTATCCTATGAAATGTGCTTAAAAAGAATTCTGCAATCATTGGATAGAGTGCTCTATTTATGGCATTTAGCTGATAATGCTGTTCAAGTCTTTGATACTAGCTGATTTCTGTCTAGTTTTTCAATCAATTATTGAAAGTGGGGGTGTTAAAATCTCCAACCATTGAGTTATCTATTTATGTTTTCAATTTTATCCATTTTTGTTTCATATATTTGGAAGCTAGTTTTAGGTGGATATACATGTATAATTGTTACATCTTATTGATATAACAATGTATTTACTGATGTACTGACAATCTTATCCTTATAAAATTGTCATTGTTGCTTGGTTTTGGTTTTGTTTTTGTTTTTGTTTTCTTTGCTAGTACACTTCTTTGCTAGTAACCTGCCTGGACTAAATCCATGAAGTCTGTCTCCCCTCATATATGTGGCCACTGATGTTGCTGCTTAGTTGTTTATTAAAAAATATATGTTCTTCTTTTTATTTTTTGTGAGATGGAGTTTCGCTCTTGTTGCCCAGGCTGAAGTGCAGTAGCGCAATCTCAGCTCACCACAACATCCACCTCCAGCCTCCAGGGTTCAAGTGATTCTCCTGCCTCAGCCTCCTGAGTAGCTGGGATTATAGCCACCCACCACCATGCGTGGCTAATTTTTTTGTATTTTTTTAGTAAAGACGGGGTTTCACCATGTTGGACAGGCTTGTCTCAAACTCCTGACTTCAGATGATACTCCCACCTGGGCCTCCTAGATTGCTGGGATTATAGGCGTGAACCACTGTGCCCGGCCTTATGTTCTTTTATTTATTTATTTATTTATTTATTTATTTATTTATTTTTGAGACGGAGTCTTACTCTGTCTCCCAGGCTGGAGTGCAGTGGCACTATCTTGGCTAACTGCAATCTCAACCACCCGGGTCCAAGCGATTCTCCTGCCTCAGCCTCCTGAGTAGCTCCAAGTAGCATAACCTCAGCCAGGAACATGCTTATCCCACCACCACTGCAATCTCAGGCTAGAAGAGCTGTTGACCTCTCAGGCTAAGGAACTGTAGGCCTCCCTACTGGCCTACTTCAAGATCATCATTTCCACAGATGCTGCAGCTGGTCATGGGCATTAGTGACTATTACGAATTAAGTGAGCCCCTTCAAACAGACAGAATCTGTGTGTTGACTGAATTGGGGTGGGGATGATAGGAGCAGACCCATACCAGAATGCCACAAAGTTCCACTATTTTTACACAAAATTCAGCAGTTTTCAAAAACAAACATTTCTAAGATTGCTATATGTCTTTGGTTGATTTCCAAATGTTGAAGTACTTGTTTGTTTTTTTTTCCATTTTGTCCAGCTTTATAGTTGCTTTTTTTGGGGAAGATAATCTGCTAATCTCTTCACTTGGCCAGAGCCAAAAGTCACATGGGAATAAAGATTTTTAAATTGTTTCTCTCAATAAAATCCATATGGAGTTGTAACAGACAACTTGAATTTTAATTCAGAAAAATGATTTAAGGTCATGGCTTGTCAAAACATATACATAGTAGAATGACTCCACACCCTTATAGGTACTTATGTCCCAGTTAAGATTCTGGGTTTTAGTAATAAATTATGATGGCAACACTATAAGGCATCCTAAATCATGCTCTTAACTGTTATGCCAAGAGGTTTATCATAATGAAAATCTCTTGTCAAAATAAGGGCTAAAATGGTCCTGGCTCTTCATTTTCACTAAGCCAGATTTCAATGTTGTGGCCTAATTTCTGGTGTTAAGGATAATATCAACTTTGAAATCAACAAATAAATGCACATCTATGAATACTCAGCAAAATAAAAAAATGGAGGCCGGATGCGGTGACTCACGCCTATAATCCCAACACTCTGGAAGGCCAAGGAGGGCAGATCACTTGAAGTCAGGAGTTCGAGACCAGCCTAGCCATGCTGAAACCCTGTCTCTACTAAAAATACAAAAATTAGCAGGGTGTGGTGGCACTCACCAGTATTCCTAGCTACTCAGGAGGCTGAGGCAGGAGAATCACTTGAACTCAGGAGGTAGAGGCTGCAGTGAGCCAAGATCACGCCACTGCATTCCAGCCTGCATGACAGAGGAAGATTCCATCTCAAAAAAATAAAAAATGAAAAATAAAAAAATGGAAATACTTTTCAGATACTCATAAACTGAAATGATAAATTGAGGGGCAGAATATAAGTCAACATCCTTTGCTAGTAAATCATTCTAGACATACAAAAGTGAGACTTAACAGATAATAGAAAAAATAGGGAATGTTAAAGTTTCTTCCAAGTTTATTAAGGAAAAACTCAGGAAAAATGGAAAACATTATTATGCTGACATGTTCCTAGGTATCAACCTAATATTTTACTCTAAAATGTTTTACTTTTAGACCATGCCTGGTGGCTCATGCCTGTAATCCTAGCACTTTAGGAGGCTGAGGCAGGAGGATTGCTTGAACCCAGGAGTTCAAGACCAGCCTGGGCAACACAGGGAGACCCCGTCTCTACAAAAGATTTAAAAAATTAGTCAGGCATGATGATATGCACCTGTGGTCCCAGCTACACAGGAGGCTGAGGTGGGAGGATCACTTGAGCCCCAGATGTCAAGGCTGCAGTGAGCCGTAAGCGTGCCACTGTGTTCCAGCCTGGGTTGACAAAGTAAGACCCTATCTCAAAAAAAAAAAAGTTTTAAAGGGCATCAAGTTTAAATAATACAACTTTGTTACCCAGAGTATGTAAATAAAAAATGTCCAAATATATTTCAGGTTTGTGATAAACCAAAAATCAATCCTTTCTTTCCCAAGAAACTCCTTAATTCCTGAAACAAATAAAAGAGGTCTTTAATTTCCTCCAAAACTTAGTCCATTTCACTTTGGGGGCCTTCTTCTCCCACAGTAACTCAAGATATTCTATTCTTTTCAATTTTCAAAGCTTTAGTAGCATGTGTTTGACAGCTTTTTTTGTTTGTTTGTTGGTTTGTTTTAGACTGAGTCTCGCTCTGTTGTCCAGGCTGGAATACAGTGGTGTGATCTTGGCTCACTGCAACCTCCACCTCCTGGATTCAAGAGATTCTCCTGCCTCAGCCTCCTGAGTAGCTGGGATTACAGGTGTGCACCACCATGCCCGGCTAATTTTTGTATTTTTAATAGAGATGGGGTTTTGCCATGTTGGCCAGGCTGGTCTTGAACTCCTGACCTCAGGTGATCCTTGGCCTTTCAAAGTGTTGGGATTACAGGCGTGAGCCACGCCTGGCCTTGACAGCGTTTAAGAGCCCTGCTTCATGTCCAATTAGGTCTGGGTAAGGTTTTTATTTGTAATTACAATATATATAAGGACCACTTTAGTAAATAAAAAAGTATACATTATATTAAAGCAAAAATCCTTGATGACTTATATATCATTTGAAAGAAACTGGACTTAGGAAAGAAAAGATGAACCCTGACAACACAGCTAAAATTCAGAATAAGAAAAGGCATGTACCTTACACAAAAGAAAGGACAGCCTGTCAGTTTCTATACTGCTGCTCCTTACTCAAACCAAGTCAAATGTGATCCACTGATGATATTTCCAATAACTATTGTGAGATAAATAAAATCACCATGAAACTATATGCGAAATTTGTCATGCTCTTGGAAAAGAGTAAGTTTCTATCAGTTTCTCAGAAAAATTTGATCCCAAAAAGGTCAAAAACAACTGCTAAAGTAAATTTATCTGAGATAGTGCTAAAACATCAAACAAGGGGATGAGATTTAAAGAGGCAGAATTCACTGACCTGACATAGAAGCAAAGTCTCCTTCCCTTTTAGTAACTATCAGTTAAATCTGTCAAGGAACTTTGCAAACATCCCCTGAAAAATATGCTCTTTGAATTTTACAGGTAAATAAAACAGTTATAGTAAAATCTTACCCAGATCCACAGAATTCATGGAATGACTCACTAACAGATGAGAATTTATATCCCTTCACACCCAACAAGCCACACTGCTATACTCAGTTCATATCTATACACGAATTAGGATGAAAAACACATTGCCTTAAAAAAGTTCAAAGTATCAAATTTTGTTTTTGTAGCAGAAATTTAATATCCTCTCAATTATTGTTACCCTGGATAAAAACCTGATAATTTTAGTTTATCAAAATAGAAAGTGGAAGCTGGGCGTGGTGGCTCACATCTGTAATCCCAGGACTTTGGGAGTCCAACGCGGGCAGATTAAGGAGTTTGAGGCCAGGAGGCCAGGAGTTCAAGACCAGCCTGGCCATCATCGCAAAATGCTGTCTCCATTACAAATACAAAAATTAGCTGGGCATGGTGGTACATGCCTGTAATCCCAGCTACTCGGGAGGCCGAGGCATGAGAATCTCTTGAGCCTGGGAGACAGAGATTGCAGTGAGCTGAGGTCGCACCAGTATACTCCAGGCTGGGCGACAAGAGTGAGACTCTGTCTCAATTAAAAAAAAAAAAAGACAATGGAAACTAATAATTAAGATGCACATATGCACATAGGTACATGAATATAACACACCATATTCTGAATGTTTGTGTCTCCCCCTCAAATTTGTATGTTGAAATCCTAACTCTCAGGCCAGGTGCAGTGGCTCACGCCTGTAATCCCAGAACTTTGGAGGCAGAGGCAGAAGGATCACTCGAGGCCAGAAGTGAGATCAGTGTGGCCAACATGGTGAAACCCTGTCTCTACCAAAAATACAAAAATTAGCCTGGCGTTGTGGCGGTCGCCTGTAATCCCAGCTACTCGGGGAGACTGAGGCACAAGAATCACCTGAACTCAGGAGGTAGAGTGAGCCAAGATCACGCCACTTCACTCCAGTCTGGGCAACACAGCAAGACTCTGTTGAAAGAAACAGAGAGAGAAAGAGACAAAGAAGGGAGGGAGGGAGGGAGGAAGGAAGGAAGGAAGGAAGGGAGGAAGGGAGGGAGGGAGGGAGGGAAGGAAGGAAGGAAGGAATGAATTCTAAATTTCAGGGCAATGGTATTAGGAGGTAGGGCCTTTATGAAGTGATTAGGTCATGTACGCAGAGACCTCATGAATGAGATTAGTGCCCTTATAAAACCCTTTCCATCATGTGAGGACCCAGTGAAAAGACTGCAGTCTAATGAATCAGTGAGTGGGCCCCTCGTGAGAGATCAAATCTCCTGATGACTTAATCTTGGACTTCCCACCTCCAGAACTGTAAGAAACAAATGTCTGTTGTTTATAATCTACTCAGTTTATGGTATTTTGTTACAACAGCCTGAATGGACTCACACAATCAGGAACTATGCTACACTGTCTCATTTAATTCTATTTGAGATGGGTATTATTTCCATTTATAGATAAAACCTAAGGCTCACGGCAGTTAAACACTTAACAAAGATATTTACATATTATGATATGCATATAATATTGCTAATTCTCTAGTACCTTTAGCTACTTACACTGTAGTAACTTAAGGCTTGTGTACCAGTCATATACTTGTGTACCTGCATGACCTAATCACCAGTCAGATACACATTTAAATAACATTTTAAAGGGCCAAATTTCGAAAACACTTGTTTCTGTAGGTTAATGTAAAGTATACTGATATAAAAATAAGAAAATCTATATTCCTAACTCGATTATAATTTAATGTACTTATACTAGTTTTTCATGAGAAACACAACATACATAGATTTTAAGACAGAAGAGGCAGCCTATCCTTCTCAAATCCAACAAATCTGAGTCAAAGTCAAGGTCCTCTAGTTATTATAGTATGCACAAAATACATAATAAAATAATTTTCTAGGCAGAATTCACTTATCTTTTTTCATTTTCAAATAAACAAAAAAAAGTCACATCATGAGGAGATAACCCTTGATGACCTAACCAGATTATATTAACCCATTGTAAAGAACTACAGGAATACAAAATATTCTTTAAAACACTTGAAATATTGAAAAATGATAAACAAAACATTCACTGCTACTAAAATGTACCTGCAAAACAGTCACTCTATGATGGGAAAAGAGAACACTGGCTAATTTTGATGGGAGCAACTTGATGGAAGTTGGTATAATAAGCAGAGAGGCACCACTTGATAGAGCAAGAAATATTTCCACAACAGAAGGATCAAAGGTCAGAGGTGAAGCCAGAAACAAAACATCTTCTTGTGTGATGTCAAAAAGTACCCTAAGGCAAAACAGAATGCAGTTATAAGAAACGTCAAACATTTAGTAAGCACATATCCTAAAAAAGTGTTCACGTGTTTATGATTATCAAGTTTCTGAATGTTGGCCAGATTTTATTCTTCTCTCTTAAATTAGGCAAAATAGTGCTATCAAAATTCAAGAAATCTTCTTCATAAAAGAAAGAATTAACAGCCATTTAAAGCAATATCCATGTTTTACCAGACATATTTTATCATCTGTGATGACTTTTGATGTGTCAACTTGGTTTGATTGAACTACTGCCCCCAGAATTCCCTCTCTAGTATGTTTCCCGTTAGGGAAGGAGACAAGGGATATTCTCTTGAGAGCTGAGGAACAGAAGGGAGGCTGCTGCTTAGCAGCACACACGCCTTCTTCAAGCAGTTATTCAATCAAACCCTATAGTCCCTAATCAGCTGATTTACTTAATCAAAAGCGAGATTATCCAGGGTTGGCTGAATTTACTTGGAAGGCCTTCAGAAGAGGTTTTAGGCCTTCTCTGAAGAAGAGATCCAAACAGCAGCTGGGTCTGCAATTAATCTCCCTTCCCTCCAATCTGATTTCACCTGGGACAGTCTCATGGCCACGGGATTCCAGCCTGCCTGTGATCACCCCTTCCTAACTGATCCCTATGGACTTTAGACTTGCTTAGCCAGCCCCCACAACTGTGTAAACCAATTTCTTACAATGAATCCCTGATCTAACTCCTGGTTCTGCTCCTCTGGCAGAATCCTTATTCTGTCATACTTATTCAATGATGCTTAATAGAGACTTCCGACTCCCCTTTCTATTTGGCATTTTCTTTCAGTATCTGAACAAAAAGCAGAATAAGAATATATGTGGTTAGGATCTTATAGAGCATGGATAGTCACTGTTGAGCCTATGACACTATTTCAATTTGAACACACAAACACCAATACATCTAAAAGCATCTTAATTTCAAAAGAGCATCAAATATGGTATAAACATTTTAAAAATTATAACCATGTATATGGTGTCTCAGGTAAAATAAAAACTCACTGTATGTTAAAGGTGTAGGTGCCGAAAGGCTGTGATACCTTTCCTCCCCATCATAAGGCTCACAGCCAACACTCTTATAAACAAAAGACAGTTTAACAACAGAAAAGCATGACAAATTAATTTAATCAAAGTTTTATGAAACATGGGAGGCTTCAGAACGAAGACCCAAAGACCCAAGGGAAAAGCGTCCATTTTAATGCTTAGATTCAATAGAGTGGACAGCTGTGTAGAAATGTGATTAGACAAAAAGGGAATGAGTAATAAACTGAGTGGGAAAATCCAGCAAGGCCTGTCCTTTTAAATTCCTGGCTTCTCTGCGTGGCATTTCTTCCTCCCATGTATAGAGCAGGACCCTTTCTGGAATGAGTCTTATGTTCTACTTTCAGACAAGGTAAGTAAGAGCAATTTCTTTACAGCCAGCTCTTACATGTAAAGGTTAGATTAATATTTCTATATTTCTAGATTTTTTTTTCTTTTTTTTTTTTTTGAGAAAAGTCTCGCTCTGTCACCTAAGCTGGAGTACAGTGGCGCGATCTCGGCTCACTGCAATCTCTGCCTCCTGGGTTCGAGCGATTCTCCTGCCTCAGCTTCCCGAGTAGCTGGGACTACAGGCATGTGCCACCACACCTGGCTAATTTTTTTGAATGCTTAGTAGAGACTGGGTTTCAACCATGTTGATCAGGCTGGTCTCAAACTCCTGACCTCAAACGATCCACCTACCTCAGCCTCCCAAAGTGCTGGGATTACAGGCGTGAGCCACCATGCCCGGCCTCTAGGTTTTAAGACTATCTTTGAGGGAGAGGGTTCGGTTACTACGGCCTGCCTTGGGGAGAAAGGGAAGTAAGAGAAAGAAGGGCAGGTCAGAAAGAGACTTTACTTCTGAAGTCCTTCCAATGTCCTTCAGTTCAAAGTACTCAGCATGCCAAAGTGCCATACGTTGGGGTATCATTTTCTGAGCCCAACAAAGGCTACCCTCAAACTTCAAGTTTTAGAGGAATTATTCTTCACATATATTGTCTAGCTTCCTACTTAGGTATTCAGGGGACAGCAAACTTTCTAACAGGCTTCCAACAAAGCTTAAATTCTGAGAATATTTTTAGTTTTTCAATTCTATGAACAAAAATGGGCAAGGTTACGCATGCATAGAGGATGAATGCTCCATGTAGTTCATTTCAAGAAAGCAGCTTAAGATGCATTCAATATAAGAAAAGTTGAAAAAAAAGAAGAGACAGATTTTAAAGGAAGAAAAAAAGTGGAACGCAACAAACATTTAAACATATTACTTGTGAAGCTTAGGTTGGGTATCTAATATATTGTTCCTCATTTTCCCAACCACCATATGAGGCAGGTGTGATTATGTGAGAACCTAACTCAGAACCCAAGTTGGTATGAAGATTATTTTAAGGAAAAGACATTTGAGGCTAGGCACAGTGGCTCATGCTTGTAATCCCAGCACTTTGGGAGGCCAAGGCGGGCAGATACCTGAGGTCAGGAGTTCGAGACCAGCCTGGCCAAGATAGTGAAACCCTGTCTCTACTAAAACTACAAAAATTAGCCAGGTATGGTGGCGTGTGTGGGGAAAAGAAAGAGAGATCAGACTGTTACTGTGTCTATGTAGAAAGGAGTAGACATAAGAGACTCCATTTGGTTCTGTAATAAGAAAAATTCTTCTGCCATTGAGATGCTGTTAATCTGTGACCCTACTCCCAACCCTGTCCTTGCAGGAGACATGTGCTGTGATGACTCAAGGTTTAATGGATTTGGAGCTGTGCAGGATGTGCTTTGTTACACAAGTGCCTGAAGGCAGTATGTTTGTTAAAAGTCATCACCATTCTCTTAATCTCAAGTACCCAAGGACACAAACGCTGCGGAAAGCTGCAGGGACCTCTGCCTAGGGAAGCTAGGTATCGTCCAAGGTTTCTCCCCACGTGATAGTCTGAAATATGGCCTCGTGGGAAGGGAAAGACCTGATCGTTCCCCAGCCTGACACAGGTGAAGGGTCTGTGCTGAGGAGGATTAGTAAAAGAGGAAAGAAGGCCTCTTGGCAGTTGAGATAGAGAAAGGCATCTGTCTCCTGCCCGTCCCTGGGTAATGGAACGTCTCGGTGTAAAACCCGATTGTGTGTTCCATTTACTGAGATAGGAGAAAACCGCCTTAGGGCTGGAGGTGGGACGTGCTAGCGGCAATGCTGCTCTTTATGCACTGAAAAGGTTTATGGAGATGTTTGCATATGCACATCAAGGCACAGCACTTTTCCTTAAACTTACTCATGTCAGAGATCTTTATTCATATGTCTTTCTGCTGACCTTCTCCCTACTATGACCCTATTGTCCTGCTACTTCCCCTTTTTCTAAAAGATGGTAAAGATAATTATCAATAAATACTGAGGGAACTCAGAGACCGGTGCCGGCGCGGGTCCTCTGTATGCTGAGCACCGATCCCCTGGGCCCACTTTCCTTTCTCTATACTTTGTCTCTGTGTCTCTTTCTTTTCTCAAGTCTCTCGTTCCACCTGACAAGAAAAGCCCACAGGTGTGGAGGGGCAGGCCACCCCTTCAGTGCGCCTGTAGTGGGAGGCTGAGGCAGAAGAATAGCTTGAACCTGGGAGGCAGAGGTTGCAGTGAGCCGAGACTGCACTGCTGCATTCCAGCCTGGGCGATAGTGAGTCTCTGTCTCAAAAAAAAAAAAAAAAAAAAAAAAAAAGAGGACATTTGAGACTCAACAAACGCAGAAGAAACCTTCTTGGAGCTTCCCTTATCTGACTAAAAACAGAAACTTCTGGCAAATGAGGCTGCCATAAACTTCTTCTTCAGAGTAGTTTTTACTCCCAGGAAGACCAAGGGTAAACCTACCATAAATCCCCTCTCTGAAGACAGTGTTATGGCTGTGAAGAAGACAGAAAGATCACTGCACCTGCATACCCAAGTATTATCACAAACTTTCTTATCTCCTGTTTATTTTCCTGAAAACCCATTTGTCTTTCCAAAACAATTTATTTGTTCTTCCTATGAACAAAGAAATTTTATGAACAAATAAATTTACAAATACATTTAAATGAACTTAATAAAATGCAATTCCATTTCTTTTGTAAACTGCTATATGCATAGGAATAAACTCTTTTTCTTAATCTGTCTTTTGTCAGTTTAATTCTCAGTCAGATACTGCGTCACAGATAGTAGAGGAAAAGTTCTCCACCCCCATTTTAAAATGGAGAAAACTGAAGTTCACGAAGGTTACGTAACTTATGCAAAGTCAAAAAAACAACTAATTTTTAAATGTTTAAAAAATAGTTATCCTTATCCAAGCCTTAAAATTAATCCCCTGATTTGAAAGATCTATCTAAATTAGACTTCAAAATTTCAATAAATGAAACCTAGTCCTTCCCTTTCTGCAGCTATCGTACTCTGTGGAGGTAGTGCTGCCTCTTACCAACATCCACAAGAAAACTCACCGTTGTCTTTTTTTTTTTAAGACAGAGTCTTGCTCTGTCACCCAAGCTGGAGTGCAGGGTCTTGCAGTTGCCCAAGTTCAATCACAGTTCACTGCAGCCTCAAACTCCTAGGCTCAGCAATCTTCCTGCTTTGGCCACTGGAGTAGCTAAGACTACAGACTTGTGCCACCACGCCCAGCTAGCACTGTCTTATTAATAGGTTATTCTGGTAATATTCGGGGAGCTAGCAACGGAGATAAGATTGTTCTAATATGTGTCTGAAATCTAGTACTCTCTAGTTTAGTGATCTAAGTCTAAAACAGAAAATTTAACATTACTGTTTTAATTTTTAAATTGAATATTTTAACATTTCATCTCTCTAGAATCGAATTATTTGCCACCTCACTTAAGAACATAAAAGCAAACCAAAAAAGGATTTCTAACAGGCAAATCAATTGAATTAAGTTGAAGCACCAAACAAGTATCAAGAAATTTGTATAATTTAGTCATAAATCAACCCTTCAACCCTCATTAAGTAAATGTTTGCTACCATTTCACAGACCATTCTTACCACTGCCGGGCCAGTGCCTGGTGGTCGACTGTCTCTCCACCTCCCCCAGATTCCTTATCTGCTTCATTTTCTTCAAGTTCCCTACATCCCCATCCCCACCTCACCTCCCACACTCTTAGGTATGACTTGGCCTTCTGCCTCATACAAAAGTTAAAACCTACTGGCTTCCTCTAACACCAAGAAACGTACTTTACTATCCTAATCTTTTTGAGGGTATCAAAAAAAGAGGTATTCCACTCAGTATTTTAAATAATGCCATTCCCTCCCATCTAAATGTATCTTACTCCTTTGTTAATATTCCTGTTACTACTCCATTATTCAAACCAACCCTTTCTACCAACTCCCTACCCTCAGCCTATAAACTGCTCATCTTTTTTTTTTTTTTTTTTTAAGATAGGGTCTCGCTCTGTCACCCAGACTGGAGTGCAGTGGTGCGACAACGGATCACTGTAGACTTGACCTCCTGGGCTAAATCAATCCCTCCCCTTCAGCCTCTTGAGTTGCTAGGATTATAGACACAGATCACCATGCCCAGCTAATTTTTTGTGTGTTTCTTAAAGAGGGAGTACCACTATGTTACCTAGGCTGGTTTCGAACTCCTGGGCTCAAACGATCCTCCTGCCGTAGCCTCCCAAAGTGTGGGATTACAGGCGTAAGCCACTGCACCCAGCCAACCTCTCCAATCTTAAAGACAAAACACCTATGTCCATCCCAGAATTCCCTCTTTTTCATTAAAACCAGTTTCTAGAAAATAACATTTGACTTTTATGACCTCTATTTCGTTATCTCCTATCCTCTTATCTCCAGCCTAATGTAATCTATCTGCAACCTTGGGGACTTAAGAAGTCACTAAAGACTATATTGTCAATTACAACAGACATCTTTCTCTACCAGCATTTAACCATTTCTTCTTTCCAGGCCTGCATGTGCCATCCAATACCACAGGTCCACTGAGCACTAAGAATGTGGCTAGTCCAAATTGAGATGTATAAGTATAAAATGTATGCCAGATTTTGAAGATGATTAGCATAAAAATGCAAAATACCTTACTAGTAATGTTTATATTGATTACATATTGAAGTAATGTTTTGGAGTATACTGAATTAAATAAAATATACTGTTAAAATTAACTTCACTTGATTCTTTTTTCTTCCCTTTTCATTCAATTTTACTTTTGAATATTACTTAAACATTTAACATGACATAAAACTTAAAATCACATAAAATTACATACGTGTCTCATGAGGTTTCTATTTCTGTATCCTCCTTTGATATTCTAGGACTACACCCCTAAGGTTCACTTCCTTCTCTCTCTCTTGGCAAATTAAGAATGTCAACTTTGGTGATTTCTAATCTCTTGACCACATCAGCAAGTCAAACACCACAATACTACTACAAGAGGGAACTTAATAAAATGAGAATCTTTTAATGGTTCCCCATCATCTACTGGATTAAGTTCAGCCTTCAACTGGGCATACTAGGCTCCTGATCTTTCACTGTTTCCTCAGCCCTGCTCTGACATTCTAGCAGGACAAACTCCTTCATTCTCATATAACTCTGCTAGTACCTCTGCTAGGAAAACCCTTTCTCCCTTTTTATTAATAATTAAGATGCAAAGCTTCTAATCACATCATTTGTTTGTTCCGTGTCTGGCCCTAGGCTTGGATGAAACAGGTGAAGGGCCTAGTCTGCAGAGAACTAAAGTTCAGATACAGCTGAAACAAAAAAGACTTAATTACTTCTTAGGATTATTAATTTAGGAACAAGAGTTATAAAACCAAAAGTTTTAAAATTATTTTTTCCCTTTAAAATACAAGGTTTTTTTGTTTTATTTTGTTTTGTTTTTGAGACAGTCTCACTCTGTCACTCAGGCTGGAGTGTAGTGGCATATTCTCAGCTCACTGCAACCTCCACCTCCTGGGTTCAAGCAATTCTCCTGCCTCAGCCTCTCCAGTAGCTGGTATTACAGGCACCCACCACCACGCCCGGCTAATTTTTGTATTTTTTTAGTAGAGACAGCTTTCACCATGTTGGCCAGGCTGGTCTTGAACTCCTGACCTCAAGTGATCTGCCGCCTTAGTCTCCCAAAGTGCTGGGATTACAGGTATGAGCCACCACACCTGGCCTAAAATATAGGTTCTAAGAAAGAGTCAAAGAATAGAACTTACTGAAAATGCTGGATATTTGGTACTATACACTCATGAGGCACTCTGACAATCTTCGGTATCCCTGTAGTCCCTGATGTATGTAGTACATACGCTAAGCAATGCTTTAGCCTCAGATCCACGTGTTCTGCTTTTTCTTCATTGACATGCTCAGAACTTACGCTGATTTTTATTTTTTCTTTTTCATATTTCTCTTTTCCATCACTTAGCATCAAGTTCACCTCAGTATTTTTCCAGTGAAGTCTGAAGAGCACTAGGTCATTATGTTCTACTGTAAATGTATCGTAACTCAATAACGTTTCATGAAAAGATTTAAATTTCTGTGTGAAATGGGGGACAAAGTTTACAATATTAGTATGTTAAAAGATATTCTTCTTTATATAGAAGTAATATGAAATACAGTCATCCCTCAGTATCCATGGGGGAATTGGTTCTAGGATCATCTCAGATGCCAAAATCTGAACATACTCAAGTCCCTTATATAAAATGGTGCTGTACTTGCATATAACCCATGCACATCCTCCCATGTACTTTAAATCATCTCTAGATTACTTATAACTAATATAAAACTATGCTAATTAATGCTATGTAAATAGTTGCTATATTTTAAAATTTGTATTAGTTTTTACTGTTGCACTGGGTTTTTTTTTTTTTCTGAATATTTTCTTCTTTTTTCTTGAGACAGGGTCTCTCTCTGTTGCCCAGGCTGGAGTGCAGCGGTGTAATCTTTATTGTTTTACTTTATTTATTTATTTTTTTTGAGACAAGAGTCTCGCTCTTTCGCCCAGGCTGGAGTGCAGTGGCGCAATCTCGGCTCACTGCAAATTCTGCCTCCCAGGTTCACATCATTCTCCGTCCTCAGCCTCTCGAGTAGCTGGGACTACAGGCACCTGCCACCGTGCCCAGCTCATTTTTTTGTATTCTTTTTAGTAGAAACAGGGTTTCACCGTGTTAACCAGGATGGTCTCGATCACCTGACCTCGTGATCCGCCCGCCTCAGCCTCCCAAAGTGCTGGGATTACAGGCGTGAGCCACCCCGCCCAGCCGCAGCAGTGAAATCTTAACTGACTGCAACCTCGAACAGCTGGGCTCAAGTGAGTTTCCCACTTCAGCCTCTTGAGTAGCTGGAACTACAGGTGTGCACCACCACATCCAGACAGTTTTTTTATTTTTACCAGAGAAAAGGTCTCACTATGTTACCCAACCTGGTCTCAAACTCCTGGACTCAAATGAGCTCCTGCGTTAGTCCCCTAAAGTGCTGGGATTATAGGCGTAGGCCCCAAATATTTTCAGTCTGCAGTTGGTTGACTCCTCAGATGGGAAACCTCTGGATACAGAGGGCCAACTGTATTCATTTACTCATTCAACATGACTTTTTTGGGGAGTTGGGGGGAGTACTTGCTATATACCCAGGGGTAAAAAGATAAATAAATCTCCAAGAGCAAAGTGCTGTCCTTACTTTCAAACCTATTTTCCAAAACACCAGACATATAAAAGCAATCATAATGCAGTGTGATATGATAATAAAGCAGGCTTGAAATGTTAATGGGAACAGAGAATGCTGAACTTAACTCTGCCTAGAAGGTCAGAGATTGCTTCATGGGTAATATTTGTTATAAGGAGCTATTCTCCAAATAATAAAAATGGGCACTTCAGGCAAACAACCAACATTGAGGATCTGACCTGGGAAAGCTGATATGTGAACATTAAGCATTCCAATTAAGGTAAAGAATGGGGAGGGGGAAAGGGAAAAGGTGAGGTGCGTAGCTGATAGGAGATGAGATGCAAATCCTTAATAATTTTGTACAGTCAGCACAAAGGAGTTTAGATCTTAACCTGTAAGTGACAGGATCCAATTGAAGGTGGCAATAGCATAGATTAGACTCTATCAAGGACAGAATAATAAATGAGATTCTGCTAAGTGAGAATCATTTAATGAGTCTTTTGCAGTAATTCAGATATACTATATGGTCCTGAACTACTATTCTGTTGCAAGAGGAGTGGTTAGAAAGGGTCTATGAGCAAAGAATAAATAAGACATGGTGACTTTCTGGATGTGGACTGAGTCTAAGAAAATTGTTGGGTTTCTGGCCCAGGTGATTTGGTGGATGGAGATGATTTAATGCAGAAGTGAGTTTGGATGAAGAGATGCTAAGCTAAATTTGTACAAGTTGAAAGTAAGGTTTCTTTGAATATATCTTTTTAGGTTGACAACAACAGCATAATGAAATATAACCTAGGTTTTCACATTAAATAAATCAACATAAATAATGAGAAAAAGGTCACAACCCAGAAGCCTACAGTGTTTTCTTAGTGTGTTTGGTGTATGTGTATGCATTGGGTAGGGGATGTGGTGTGGCCTGTAATATTTACAAAATTAAAGGCCTACATACTCTTCAGATCGACCTCAAAATCATCCCTCCTCATTAAAATTCTACTATATCTACTAGGTTATGTTTACTTCACTTAGGACAATTATCACACTATGTAGATGTTATGGGTTCAGGAGTAAGAACTTTTCTCTCCAACTACATTATAAAAAACTGGAAGGCTTATATACCAATGCCCTCCCAATCATTCTGTCCCTAGTGCAAGGTTTCTCAGTTTCAACACTACTGATATTTTGGACCAGATAATTCTTTGTGGAGTGCTGTCTTATACATTGTAGGATTTTTAGCAGTATCCCTGGCCTCCATCCACCAGATGCCAGTAGCACCCCACTTCCATCATTACAATAAAAAATATGTCTAGACATTGCCAACTGTCCCCAGTTGAGAACTATTGCTTTAATGGATACGTACAGTAGATGCTTAAAAATACTGATTGTTCCTGTGTTAAATGAAGGAAGAACACTTACACCATCATCAAAATCATGGGATAGGAAGCAAGGTTTTGCTATGCTCAACTCATTCGTTCTTGGGTTTTGCTATGCCCAACTCCTACTGGTCATAAAGAATACCTTGATATTGACAATTAATACTGATACTAAGTTACCCTTTATAAAATTTTCACTAAGGTTGCTAAGAAAAATAAACATCACATCCCCATTTCAGTTTTGCTTACTTACGAACAATGGAATAACCAATTTGAGGAGTAGAGGAAACTTCGGCTACACACTAACAAATATTTATTTTTAAAACATTTATTAACCAGATCAGGTGTGGTGGCTCATGCCTGTAATCTCAGCACTTTGGGAGGTCGGGGCGGGCAGATCACTTGAGGTCAGGAGTTCAAGACCAGCCTGGCCAACATGGCGAAACCTTGTCTCTACTTAAAAAAATATATACAAAAATTAGCCGGGTGTGGTGGCATGCAGCTGTAATTCCAGCTACTTGGGAGGCTGAGGCACTAGAACCGCTTGAACCTGGGAGGCAGAGGTTGCAGTGAGCTGAGATCGCACCACTGCCGACTGCACTTCAGCCTGGGTAACAGAGTGAGACTCTGGCTCAAAAAAAAAAAAAAAAAAAAACCCCTTTTGAGTCTCTAGAAAGTAACCCATATATCTCAAGTTCTTGATATTTCTTATATACACACAGACAGACGCGCGCGCGCACGCGCACACACACACACACACAGAGTGTGGGGGGGCAGGAGGGAATAACGCATTTAAGTTACCCCATTACAAACTGGCTCATATAGAAAATGGCAAAAACAGGCTAAATTGAATATATTTTTATAATGTTCTTCCCCTTTAGTAAAACAGTATTTTATAAATAATAAATAAATAATGAAGCATGGGCTGCGTCTTGCTGAAGACGCAAAGCAGTGTTTCTTGGTTATATCTTTGGTTGGCAATCATTTAAAAATAAAAAACAATAAACAATAAATTTAGTTTTCTGGAAAGATCTCTTCTAAGTACCAGTCTCTTTTTCAAAATGCAAGCTCTGTTATAATTCTTCAGTGTTGCTGACCAATGTAATTGCCATAAATATGAAAGTTTCAAGTATTATAAAATTTTGCAGTATAGGAAATACTTTGGAAAGAGAAATTCAAAACAATGCATAATATATTATTATAAGGCTAACAGATCTGTTCATACCACAGAACAGTGGTTCACAATGCAGTATGAGGGGTGGAGAGCCCCTCCAGGGGACAAATGGCAATGTCTGGAGATTTTTGGTTGTTACGACTGGGAAGTGCTACTGAAGTCTAGTGAGTGCGGTCAAAGATATTGCTAAATATCCTATAATGTATGGAACACTCCTCACAACAATTACTCAACCCTAAAAATGTCATAGTGCAAAGACTGAGAAACCTTGCCACATTTAGCAGACTTAGGAATCCAGATGGGAGAAGGAAGGAATGCTTCAATTGAAAGATAAATGTAATACAGGCAGAAAACAATTGAAACACCTAGACTTACATTAATTTGTTTTTTTTCAACAAGGATATACTTTAGATTACATTTTTTCATAAAATGAGTTGATAATGATGGTGGTGAATCTGTATCGATAGGTACATAAGCAGCTGGGACTTGGAGAATTCTAGAGAAAAAAGTACACAGTCAGCACAGAATGTCTGTTGATTTAGTACTTGTTTAAGCATTTCTATTTCTCTATGCCCTTTATTTTTTGTAGCAGCATAAAAATGGTTTCTGGAGCGCTTTATTGCTGATCAGAAATTTCCAATGTTTTCATTGACACTTAGTTGGTAATAAACACCGTCATTTTAGCCGGGCACAGTGGCTCACACCTGTAATCCCAGCACTTTGGGAGGCTGAGGCAGGTGAATCACCTGAGTCAGGAGTTCGAGACCAGCCTGACCAACATGGAGAAACCCTGTCTCTACTAAAAATACAAAATTAGCCGGGTGATGGTGGGCGCCTGTAATCCCAGCTACTTGGGAGGCTGAGGCAGGAGAATTGCTTGAACCCGGGAGGCGGAGGTTGCGGTGAGCCAAGATCACACCATTGTACTCCAACCTGGGCAATAAGAGTAAAACTTCATCTCAAAAATAAATAAATAAATAAACACTGTCATTTTATCTTTTCTTCATGAAAACCCTAAGTATTTACTATGTTAAATTCTCATCACTTAATATAGAGAAATACAAGATTTTTAAAAGTTAAGCATTTTAAGTAGTTTCAGGTATACTTTAAGGACACCAGATCTTTGCACATAGTAAGTTCTCAATAAATTTTGTCACTAATTGAGTGAAAGTAAATGTTTGTTGTTGTTGTTTTTGTTTATTGTTTTATAGAGATGGGGTCTTGTTAAGTCACCAGGGTGGTCTCGAACTCCTGGCCTTAAATAATACTCTAGACTCAGCCTCCCAAAGTGCTGGGATTTACAGGTGTGAGCCACTGTGCCTGGCCAAAAGTAAATTTTTGAATATCTTTTGCTTTATACTTATATAATTAATTTACCAAGACACATATAGAATGAATAAACTCTTTGGCAGTTTATATTTATTGCAGAGTTCTAGAATATAAATCACTATATGAGGATAACATTCTAGAACAATTTAAATAATTAAATATTTTGCAAATATCTGTTGGAATCATTGCAAAATGATTAAACATTTTGCAAATATCTGTCTTCCAATAGGTTCATATTTCAATCTATATCAACTATTATCCAAAACTCTAATTTACTGATTTATTGAATACCTTAGTGCTTAAATTTTCAGTTGTGGACAAAAAACATAGTCATGTTATCTGTGAAATCCTGTTTTCTTTTATCTAACAACAAAGTGTTATAAATTATCATAATTGCTTTCCTTTAACAGATTAATGAAGCCCTTATATTTTGGAGATACTTAAATGTTCTATTAGTAAAAGCTTCTAGTCTCTCCTAAATAAGCTCAGAATAATTAATTTAAATAATTAAAAATAATACTAGGAGAAATGCAAACTTCTTTAGCCTCTCTACAATTGACCAAACAATACAGAAAAATCCAATAGTAAATAGAACAGTAACTTGCAATATACTCTATTAAAAAATTACATTAGCTTGGAGTAACATCAAATTTACAGTTCTAAAAAATATTACCCTAAAATCCAAGAGGGTAAGTCTATTCCAGGTTGGCAGTAGAGACCAATTTCCCGAATTCCTTGAAAGTCACAGTGTAACAGCAGAAAATTTGATAATTCAGAAGCAGCATTAACCACAGTCTTGTAGGTGTAGTAAACTGGAAGCTGGTTGTTGCATTCATCAAAACATACAGCTACTTTGTCCATATAACAGGAGGCAGCCTTACGCACCAATTCCTGAAGAGTCATTTCACTGAAGTTTATCTAAACATCAATTTGTAGCAGAGAACCCTGTGTATACACAGAAGTGTTAGGGGGAGATGGAGTTTTAGTGAGCTCAGTGGAGGGACAGGGAGAAACTTCTCTATAATCATGTCTCACGAAAATAATTATATCAAAGATATATAAATGAAGAATCTCTGAACTTATGAAATGTCTATGGTGACTTTACTGAGGACAATGAGGTTGAAAATTAACTTGATACATCAACCTATGCTGGGTCAGAGCATCAAAAAAATTTGGGAGGGGAGTGGTATACACAGATGAAAATGAAGCAGGTAAAAATGGAGACTTCTCTCTCAACGGACCACAATGTAAATATGAAATATATAAAAAATTAATCAATAAAATCAAATTTAAAGGACCCCACACTTAATTTTTTTCACTTTCCTTCAGTAACTGTTACAGATTTGTTAAGATAAATTAGTCAAAATATTGCATGGTGACTTTCAAATTACTCATGTGGCCAGGTGCGGTGGCTCACGCCTGTAATCTCAGCACTTTGGGAGGCCAAAGGGGGCGGATCACTTGAGATCAGGAATTCAAGATCAGCCTGGCCAACATGGTGAAACCCTGTCTGTACTAAAAATACAAAAATTAGCCACGCAAGGTGGCGTGCACCTGTAATCCCAGCTACTCTGGAGGGTGAGGCAGGCGAATCACTTGAACCCAGGAGGCAGAGGTTGCAATGAGCCAAGATGGCGCCACTGCACTCCAGCCTGGGTGACAGGGCAAGACTGCATCTCAAAATAAATAAATAAGTAAATGAAATAAAAATAAAACAAAATGATTAATGTAAATAAACTTTGTTTTTAAATTCCAGTAGGAACTCAGATGAAAGCAAAATCAATCTTTGACAGAAGAAAAGTAAAAAATTCTATTCCTATTCATTCAGTTCTAGACAACTATATATAAAAACAGTGCTTATTACTACTATAATATTAGTATTTTACAAAAGTCATACTTGTATAATTGTCAAGAAGTAAACTCTTCATACTGTATATTTTATTTTTAAATTGCCAATAAGTTCATTTAGACTGAAAATATAATATTACAACTCAATAAAGCAGTATATCAATGCAATGTTCTCTGGGTTTCTTAATGCAGATTATACTAAAATAAGATTTGAAACAGTATTTCAAGAAAGAAACACTCGGGATCAATGGTAAAAGAAAAACTCACAGTGTTTCCTTGAAGGCAAAGGTTATTTTTTTCCCTCTGTGAACTCTATTTTCCATATTTTAAAGCAAGTAAGATTTACCAAGTAGCCTATTTCAGTAAAGTTTTTGTTTGTTTTTTGAGACAGAGTCTCGCTCTGTTCCCCAGGCTGGAGTGCAGTAGCGCGATCTCGGCTCACTGCAATCTCTGCCTCCCAGGTTCAAGGGATTCTCCCACCTCAAGTTCCCGAGTAGCTGGGATTACAAGTGCGCGCTACCACGTCCGGCTAATTTTTGTTTTTATTTTTTTTTTAAGTAGAGACGGGGTTTCTCCATGTTGGCCAGGTTGGTTTTCAACTTCTGACCTCAAGTGATCCACCTACTTTGGCCTACCAAAACGTTAGGATGACAGGCGGAGCCACCGCGCCCGGCCAAGTCTTTTTTTCTTTTTTTTTTAAATTTGTTCACATTTATTTGAACTGATTTCCTGACTGACTCAATTTTCATTTATATCAACTAATTAACATGAATTAGAAAAAAAAATCTTAAAGAGAGTAAAATGAACCAATAACTGCCAAGACCTGTAAGTTTGAAAATGCTGTGATTTCTAAATATAAAGTTTAAACATGTAAGGCAACTTTGGTACTTACATTAATTTTAGTAAGCATTTCTATACATATTAGCTCCTTTTTATGCACAATATACAATTTTAAGCTTTCCTCAGACATACAATGATCATTATGTAAATATAAGGAAGGCTTTCTACAGCACGCGCTCAAATGATGAGGAATGAGTTTATTTCGCAACATACAGGTAGTGCGGAAGGATACCTACACATCTATACGATAATTAAGATGTTTCCTTCCATTTTCCCAAAAGTTGCTACAGAGATTTAAGGTAAAATCCATTCTTGTTGTTTCAGGTTTTCATTTTCATTCATGAATCACAAACAACATTCTCTGCAGTAGAGAATACTTAATAATACCCAAATGTTTGAGACTTTAAAAAGGAAAAAAAAAAAAAAAGCAAACTCTGGTAAGCAGATTTTATATGTAAAAGGAATAAATTTAAGATATTTGCTACTTTACAACCGTAGAAGCTGCTATTTAGTCAATAGAGATCTTAAGAGTGTCAACAAATTCTACTGGTATGGGGCCTCTCTCTAGGTCACTGGTTGTTTTAAAAATGGATAAGTAATCTAGAAACTTTATTTTCCCAATCCACCTGCTTCTTAATTTACGGTATGCAGCGAGTAGCAATGCACTTTATAGCTTCCTAAACATTTCTTCACTGCTCTTCAAAACCACTCTAGGGGGTAGCGGAGCGCAGAGCACATTATTTCCATTTGAATGGAGGGACGGAGGGACGGAGGGACGGAGGGACGGAGGCTAGTGACGCAGGAGTGTACACACAGGTCAGGGTTAGTCTGCACCACACCAGCACGCCAGACCCCAATGTATCAAATCCGAGGCCAGGCAGTGGTCCTGAAGCTGAGCAAATGTGTGTGGAAGCAGGCTTAGGCCTCGCGGCACTTCGCCTCCCTCACACCGACCCCCGCCGGACACCGCGCCCTGCGGCGACTCACTTAGCAAGTCTCGCGGATTAGGTTTGTTCGCATTCGGACCTTTCCCGGACGGCTCCTCGCGGATACTTCTCACCGCGAAGCTGCAGCTCCCAGAAGCCGTAAAGCTATCCCAGAGCGAGGCCCCACACGCAAATCTTCCGCGTCGCCATGTGACGTCAGTGCGAGCGACCCCAGGGAGGCTGTGTCGGGCTGACCCGGCCTCTCCTGAAGCCGAAGCGCCAACTTGAGAGAAGAGTTCTGTAGGCTTTTTCACTTTTGGTTATCTGCTCAGGCGCTCCTTGGGGTCGCGCATGGTCTCGGACAGGGTTTGCAAGGACTTTGGAGCTGACCAGTTTGTAGCCATAACCCTTTCGTACTTGCCAAGAAACTCTGGGCAAGACTTGAATTTTGAGCTGCAGTATTCTCGTTCATAAGGTGAGAATAAAAACATCACCTAGGGTTGATGTGAAGAGAAATGAAATCATTGTGAAATAGGAGAGTTATTGGCCTTCAACCAATGACATTTTCTGCAAACGTGCTGGAGAGATGGCTGCAGCAGTGACGCCTGCAAACGACGTTCCTGTCATCATGATGCTGACCTTTTAATTGGGAAGCAGATTGAAACGATAAGGAATTTGACAGGAGCATTTATTAGGAGCTGTAAAGAAATTAAAGCAGGTCCGTGGTGGAGTTTTGTAAACTATATGCCTGAATACAAGTTTCTGTTTCCAAGGGAATTGTTACAGTTGGAGATATGTCAATTATCACAGTAAGCGTCAAGGGTAGTAACAGTGGTGTTTTAAAGCTACTGTCTGGTGGCAGAGTAATCGGGATTTTTTTGTTTGGGGGGTTTTAGCCGTGGGAGGGATTGCGAATTCAGCTCTGCATCAAAACAGTACGTGAAAAAAAAAGGACGCTCTCGCAGCCGTAGTTGTTGGTGACAAGGAAACTGTGGTACGAATCTAAGCAAAAAATATCTCCACACGCTAGCTATACTTTTCCAAGATGTTCCATGGGCTACTCAACTGACACAGCCTTATTTATGTATTTAGGTTGGAAGTGGGCAAAAGTGTATCTTGTCTATATTTCTATGTTGGGATGACACCATCATCCACCCAGCCAGCCAGTTAACCTTCCCACTTACCCTCTTACATCCGATTAGACCCTGTGTCCTCTAGTTCTCAGTCTTAAGACCAGCACCCGGCTGGCTACATCAGAATTGCAAGGAGTGATATTTTAGAAGATTTCCAAATTCCTGGACTCCATCCCCAGAGGTTCATCCCCTAGTTTTCTAGGAGGGGCCTAGAGCCTGCGTTTTTTAGATGTTCATCGCCATTACTGCTACTTTAGTTCAGGTGTTCTTGGTCAGCTTTTTCCTAAAACGTTTTCAGTTTTGTTTGCCTTTGATTGACTCTAAATTGCTGCCAAAATGATCTGTTTTATTATTCCAGTATCATCTTCCAACTCTCTGATATTAATAATCTTTTTAAGTTTTTCTTCCCTTGCAGTATGTTTCCCTCAAGTTTCCTTTTTCTTTCTCCTGTTGGTTTTGTGCTCTTTCATAATAAGAGGCTTTCCTAGGATGTCTAGTGGTCCTTATCTGCTCATATGTAAGTGGGGGGATATTTAAACGTTGATTGGAAGATCTTGAGCCCATAGGACGTTTGTTGAAAATCAAGTGGGAGAGGAGGGGTATGGAGGCTGGGGTATGTCTCAGAATTTAGTACAATTTTCATTTAATTCTCTTATTTTAGGTGCCTGGTGTCTTCCATTACAGAGACCCCGTTTTACTACTGAACAATAAAAAAAAGCCTTCAGGTCCGCATCCCGCAGGGTCTCCACTCTCGGCTTTGGAGCCCCCCCTCCCTCTTTCTCTGTAGAAGGGAGCTTCTTCCTTTCTTCTCCCTTCTTTCTTGGCTATTAAACTTTCTGCTCCTTAAAACCAAAAAAAAAAAAAAACAAAAACAAAAACCAAAAAAACAAACAAAAAAAGCCTTCAGAGTAAGGCTAGGGGGGCGGGTGGCATAAAGGATGTAACTCTCCTAAATGAACTTCCAGTCCTTTTAGTTACCCTCTTCACTTCTACTTCCTGAAGACAGTTTCTGAGCTTTTTAGGGGTTTCTGTGATACAAATAGAATTGCTTGTTGATTTTGCTCACTGGGGGTTTACAATTCAGCTTTTTCGAGTCAACTGAGCCCTTTGCTGTTGATTCCAGAATTTTATTTCCATTATTCCTTTTCCTTAACCGTCAAGAGTTTATGACTTTAAAAATCCTGTTACTGTCATTTTAAGGGACTCTTAGGGAGCAAATGTACAACACTATGTTTAAGACAGCATTTTTACCTGATAATCCAGGGTTATCATTCTAAAACATATACCAGGTCAGTCATAGCATTCTTCTGCTATGAGAATAAGAAGCTTCAATGATCCCTTGTTGCCTGCATAACATTCGGACTGTTCAGCAAGGTAAACAAGAGTTTATTTTCTTTCTAACTCGATCTCTCACAGCAGGCCACAGCTCCCCCACCCATCTTCCACATTCCCCATACCTGATACTGTAAACTCTAGTCATAATGAGAGGCTAGTAAGAGTTCTGAGCATACAAAAGTCCTTATCATGTTTCCACACCTGTGTTTTGGCTGGGCTCAGGCTGAAATACCCTTCTTTCTCCATGCCTGCTTGATGAAAATATAGCTTAAACATCACTTCTTCAGCGATGCCTTTCTTCAAGCCCTGAAGAATAATTTATCCAGACTCCTCCAAACTCCATCCCATGAACCCACCATACTCTTGGGAGGGGTCATTTGTCATGGGACCTGCAAATTCTGGGTTTGCCAAGAACGTAAGGTCCTAACTGCTCTTTACCTAGGTCATTTTTCAGGGTGGTTTGGGATGATCCGTTTCATAGCTCAAGTATTCTTCCCAAAGAGTAGGCTTGCTTCCACTTAACTACAAAAGTAGTGAATCCCCCAAACTCAGTGTTCCTCTCCTATAATGTAACCCACTGACTGCATGTGCAGACATCCATGGAGGCCCATCTTCACCATCCCGGTGGGACTTGGGGGACATGGAAAACTGGCATAAACATAAGTTCTGACTTCTGCTTTTGCCATAAATTACAAAGTTCTTTGTCACTGACCCAGGAATCTAAGTTTACTGCCATAAAACAGATAACAGGCTATCTTATTAACTTTGAAATAGGTTTCAATTCCAGACCCTTCCCAGACAGCGACATATATTTCTTACAGCATCAGTTGTTATTGTTGCTGCATTATTTCCAAATCTGACCTCCTATACTAAATAGCACCCTTATAGCAGGGATTCATGTCTTATGTGCTTGTTTCCCAAACTTTTTTTTTTTTTTTAACTCTACTCCATCCACTTACATTGTTCCAGTTGCAGGGAAATATCAAATGCCTACCCTGTACCCTGCTGATACTTTGTACCTTGACTGGCACTACTCATTTTAGGGCTCATCTCTCAGTTGTCAATGTCATTGTTTCCTTTAAAAAAAGTTCAAAAATAATTTGGAAAATCGTTGACCCTACTTGAAAACAAGGTTAGGTCCTCCTGTTATGTGCTCTTGTAGCACATATCACAGTTGGGATAATGAGGCATTGTGTGATTTACTCTAACAGTGTTCAGCTGCTCAGGAGAAGGCAGAGACCCAATTAGTGGGTTTTTCAGGTTTGGTGTTTTGACAGGTATTAGTCTGTTCTCACATTGCTTCCAGTAAATATCTGAGACTGGCTAATTTATAAAGAAAAAAGGTTTAATTGACTCAGTTCCACATGGCTGGGGAGCCCTCAGGAAACTTAAAATCATGGTGGAAGGCACCTCTTCACAGAGCACGAGGAAAGAACAGCTAACTATGAAAGTAGAATGGAAGGCCAGGAGTGGTGGCTCACGCCTGTAATCCCAGCACTTTGGGAGGCCGAGGTGGGCGGATCATGAGGTCAAGAGATCAAGACCATCCTGGCCAAAACGGTGAAACCGTCTCTATGAAAAATATAAAAATTAACTGGGCATGGTGGCACATGCCTGTAGTCCCAGCTACTCGGGAGGCTGAGGCAGGAGAATCACTTGAACCCAGGAGGCGGAGGTTGCGGTGAGCCGAGACTGTGCCACTGCACTCCAGCCTGGTGACGTAGTGAGACTCCATCTCAAAAAAACAAAACAAAACAAAACAAAAACCCTCACTCTTTGCTTTAACAATAACAAGCGTGGTAAGGGTGGTGTCGGTCCATAAGTTAGATAGGCAGTTGCTAGGCAGATGTCCTTGCAGAAGTATGTGTGTATGTGTGTGTTGTGTTTAAGATTGTGGTGGCCTTTGTGCAGGTTGTAAATTTTGGTAGTCTTTTGATAGTTCTTGTTATCAACCATATGTATATGAGAACCCTTTCCCTTCATGGCCTTCCCTGGCTCTGTTTATCAGGGTTTTAATACAAGTGACTCCATTTTCAATTTGACAACTTCCACATTTCCTCTTTTGATCAAGGTCTTTCTCAAAAGCATCACTGATCAATCATCCTGTATGTAGGTTTTGATGTCTCTTGGTGCCAGTCTGCCCCCATGTTGAAGGGAGTCATTGGTAACTAGGAATTACCATCAAAATCCTTTAGCCACATTTGAGCAACAAAAGAGGTTTGGAGGGAGTGGATCTCAGGCTAAGTATACCTGGAGTCCATTGTTAAGTTCAATTTTGTCTCTTCCACTGGCAGTGGCTATCATCTCAAAGTGCTGGGAGAGCATTTTTCTGTTAGGAGTTGCATTTCTATGCAAATTTGACAAGAAACAGGTATAAAGTTCTTTAAAAAAATACAAAGTAACTATCTCAGCATAATAGTTTTGAGCCATGAACCTGGGCTTAAAGGCAACCAACTGAATAAATCAAATGATCATGAGGAATTAGGTGAGACCTGTTATACCATGTGGCCTATTTTCTTATTTTGTGTAAATTCTCCAAAGGAATGTATCCAGGTACAACATGTAGTATGAGCAAAAGCACAGACATCTCTTTGTTTAGCTGCATTATTTAGCATTCCATGACTGGCTTGAATTAAAGCAGAGCGAGCTAACTGTTTTAAAAAAGACCGTTAGTACAATTTGAACAAAAAGTTTACTGAGGATGTTGCCAGTATTACCCCCTGGGTGGACTAAAGGATT